AGTTTGAGTCACAACACATTTAAAAAACACTTTTCACAGAAATGAAACTCTTCTCTGCTCTGATCTGTTTTAAAGTAAAGCAAACGTGAACTCAGTTTGGACCAAATATGGAGTCACTGCGTTTAGTCTCTGTTGGCTCGTATGACCATAAAAACATGGAGAGACAGTAACCATCTGCTCCCTGCTCTACAGATGTGCATTAATAATGTTGTTTATAGAGATTATTTGTGGGAAAGTTGAAGGAGGTAAACATGGAGGTGGGTGTGTGTGTGTGTGTGTGGTGTGTGTGTGTGTGTGTGTGAAGAAGTTTTAACTGTGTAGCTGTGGTTAGCTACTGAAGCCAGCTAGTTCATGGTGCTGCTAATGTTAGCTTCATAATGTGCTCATACAGTGTTCAGGCCCTCATTATTCATACCTGATGCTTTAGTCACCTTCTGTTCCTCACAGTAACAACAGGTGTTGAAGCTAATGCTAAGGCCTGCTATATCTCTACAGCTATATACAGTGAGTGTGTCTTCCTGCTGCTCTGCATGTTTTATACGGTATCTTTGTACGTACCACGTCGTCTCTACTCCATCTGAAATCAGTCCAATCAGCAGCAGTGCTGTGTGACGCTCTTTGTGACCGTCTCAGTGTGCTCTCACTTAGAACACAGGTAGGACTTATTTCTGTCTCATAGCTCATACTTTCAGATCACAGCACAGGAAGTGATGTCATCAGAGGCATGGTCTAGAAGAAGCAGCTTCCTGTCTTACATCAGGATAAATATCATGGTTATAGTGCCCTGTAGTGTAGCACACAGAATATATTCATATTGAAACTATGTGAATCAAAGGAACGAGTCAAACGATGAGCAGAGGAGAAAGAGAATCTTCACAGAGAAATCACTGATGAGCTATGGAGGTGTACACAGCGCCACCACATGCACGCATGCTGCAGCAATTCATCCTGATAGAGAGGCTGAAAGCTGCAGCCTGAACACTCTTTGGTACGCTGTTCTCTTTCAGCACCATGTCTTCATCATCATCATCATCATCATCATCATCATCATCATCGTCCTCGCTCTTCTCTCTGCCTCAGCCATCGTGTTAGCTAACCTCGCTCTCAGCACTAAATGTACAACAAGCTGAGGCTTCATCTGATTGGTCAAATGTTCACCTGCAGAGTGTGAAGGAACGTCACGTCCACATTGAATGATTCGTTTTCCAGGAAGTCGTTTCCGATGCGTTTATTACGTGTGTTCATTTTCCGATGACGATGGAAGATTTATTTTGCCGCCATGCTGACTGATCACATGATTACAGAACCACTTCAAACCAGGTACGAGGTCGACTTCATTCTCATTGTCTCGTATCAAATACTCAGTTTACAGGGAACAAAGGTGTTTTTATCAGAGCTAAAGTTAAACAGACATTTCAAAAGAAAAGACATCCAACAAGTTCAGACAGGAAAGAGAAGTAGTATGAAGTGAAATAAGATGCTTCATTAATGTCAGTAAGATGATGATAATATTACACAGAGTACAGTCTACACCTCTTCTTTATGGAAGGAGTCATGAGCTAACACTTTTTTAATCTGGAGCTTTATGAATATATTATTATTCAATGATAAACAACAGCTAATGATACTTCATCATCATCATCCTTGAATCAGGTCACCAGTTTTTAGTAACTTGGAGTTCATGAATCTGAGGAGACCTGGATCCTGAACACCTGGATCCTGAACACCTGGATCCTGAACACCTGGTTCCTGAACACCTGGATCCTGAACACCTGGATCCTGAACACCTGGATCCTGACCACCTGGATCCTGAACACCTGGATCCTGAACACCTGGTTCCTGAACACCTGGATCCTGAACACCTTGATCCTGAACACCTGGATCCTGAACACCTGGTTCCTGAACACCTTGATCCTGAACACCTGGATCCTGAACACCTGGTTCCTGAACACCTGGTTCCTGAACACCTGGTTCCTGAACACCTGGATCCTGAACACCTGGATCCTGACCACCTGGATCCTGAACACCTGGATCCTGAACACCTGGATCCTGAACACCTGGTTCCTGAACACCTGGTTCTTGAACACCTGGATCCTGAACACCTTGGATCCTGAACACCTGGATCCTGAACACCTGGTTCCTGAACACCTGGATCCTGAACACCTGGATCCTGACACCTGGATCCTGAACACCTGGATCCTGAACACCTGGATCCTGAACACCTGGTTCCTGAACACCTGGATCCTGAACACCTGGATCCTGAACACCTGGTTCCTGAACACCTGGTTCCTGAACACCTGGATCCTGAACACCTGGATCCTGAACACCTGGATCCTGAACACCTGGGCTGTGTCTGAAATCACTCCTATCCACTATGTAGTGGACACGCCATTTTGTAGTGCAGTCGAATTCTGAGTGAGCATGGTCATACCCTATATAGTCCACTCAATGTATCCCACAATGCATTTTGAAAAGTAGTGTATGAGCGATGGTCACTATGCAAGCAATATATACCATCATGCATTGCGGTTCAAACAGAAGAAATGGCCGACAGACAGGACCACGAAAGCGTGCAGCGGGAGCTGACTTTTAAAATGTTCAACGATTGTTTCACTTTGGATTTCCGCTTTTCAGGATTATGAGACACGTTATAACTTGTATATCACAGGTACTATAATTACGCCTCTACGGTAAAACCCAGCTAGCTAGCATTAGCCTTTAGCTATCTTTTAGCCACCATTAGTAGCATGTTAGCATTGCTAACTAGCGTCAGCGGTAAATTGCATTGGCATTTCACTAAAGTACCGGAGCAAAATTGATCTTATTCTGTTCAGGGACTGATGACGATGTAGCCCAGCTGATCCGGCTGAGGAGGGAGAAGGACCACCCTTCAGCGGGAGGCGGTTTGCTGCTGCTGCAGGATGGGAGTGAGACATTTCATTATTATTAATAGCTTTCTTATTGTGATGTGTCATTATATTGGAGGTAAAATGTTCTTGACTTATAGCTTTCTAGTAGGCTATAGTTATTCATGATTTTGAGACACTTTGTAGGCTATTGTGTAATATATTTGTATGTTTTTTTTACATTTTGAAGAACTTTGCTGAAAGACATGCTGCTGTCTGATCGAGTCAGTCCTGCTCGGGCGGATAAAAAGTGGGAGAACTTGAAGAAAACGTACAAGGTTTGTATTTGTTGTATTTAACTGTAGCCCTGGATAATTAAAGTTTAGATTAAAATGGCACTTCATGTTCTCCTTTAGTATCTCCCTATGTTGTATTCGGAATCTGAAATTGACTTTAACATGTATAATTGTGCATAGCTAATAGTTGATATGTATGTGATTGTGTGCAGGAGCTCTTAGGGAGTGGCACTGATCAGGGAGGCCACTGCTGGGACATGGAAGTGGTTCCCTCATGGATGAGGCAATAGGTGGGAGGCCATCCATAAGGCCTCCATGCCTCATTGCCTCAGCATGGGGAGAACTCTTCCATGTCCCAGCCAGAATCCCCTGATTCAGTGCCATCTGACACTGAGAGAGCCAGGGAGAGGGTCAGAGGAGGCAGAGATGTGGTGGTGGTGACAACATCCTTAACTTTTTGGAGAGGGCAGAAGAAAGGGCGGAAGAGAGAGTTAGAAGAGATGAGGCCAGGGAGGAAAGGTTGTTGAGTTTGATGGAAAAGATTATAGAAAAAATGTGATACAATTAAAATCTGCACATTAAAATAAATGTTTCATGAATCAGTTTTTACCATCAACATCACAACATTGAAACTTGAAAGAACTGATTTTAAAGTAACTGATACAACATCTCGGCTAATTTTTAAGAAAGAAGGAAGAAGATTTTATAAATAACTGATAACTACTAATAACTACATATTTACAACTATTAACACTTATATGAATATTGAACTATTTACTTGAATTCAAGTCTTAACAAAAAAATTGCTGTATTTTTTTCTTAATTGTAGTCATGATCATCCAGAGCTGGCGGATTTTCAATCGGGGCTGAAAGAGCAGCAGCATGCGTCACGCAGCTGCTCCCCAACTGCGAGTCAGGCTGAAGCTGGCCGTCTCCATCATCCGGCCTCAGTGCCTCTTCAACTGGTTCAATTGTGTCGCCATCCTGAGGCAGAAATTGTGGAGGATGGCACAACAAGCCACCACCTCCACAGAGAACACAGGGCTCACTTCTAGGGCCTTGAAAAAGACGGAGCGCCATCTAGCCTTCATAATACCAAAGGCCCGCTCGATAACTGTCATGATTTGGTTTTGAATTTGAGTTTCCCTGTTTTACCCAGTGTTGCTTGTTTCCCTTGTGTGTTAATGTTTCCTAGTGTTGATGGTTTCCTAGTTTTGTCTTCAGTGTTTTCTGTTTTATTTTGTCATTTATTATCCTCGTGTTCTAGTGTGTTTTGTTAGACTCTTGAGTTCTGTGTCTTTAGTGTTTCATGATTTATTTTGTATTGTCCTCAGTGTTTCTCCCTGCCTTGATTGTCTTCACCTGTGTTATTAGACTCACCTGTGTTTGATTACCCATGTCTATTTAGTCTCTGTGTTTCTTCCCTTCTGTGTCAGATTGTTGTTTGTATGTCAGTTATCAGTGTCAGTAGATGTCTGTTTTCCTCGTGCTCTAGTGTTACTTGTGGTTTCCTCGTGGCTAGTTTTCTACTGTAGTAAGTTGTGTGTTTGTCTTTGGCCTTTTTGTTTAAATAAATATTTTTTGTTAAATCTGCATCTGGGTCCTCCTCTTAGTTTTTCTCGAACCCTGACAATAACTGAAACGGGCCTTTGAATGGTGCCTGTTAAATCGAGCTGCCACTGCACCTCTCACAGGCTCCCTGTATGGTTTATTAGGGTGACTGGCCGTGACACACAGGGATAAAACCCAAAATACAGTAGCCTTCAGGTGGGAACAGGCTTTGTACAAAGAGTGGGCTATTTTTTAAAACCCTGCAGTCATGTACTGACCCTGGATACCCAATAAATATGTCTAAAAATTGACACTGGTGTTCACACACAGCCTGCATCTGCACTGAGTAAAACAATTGTCTGTGTTAAAATAGCACTGAGACACTCCAATAAGTTGGCGCGAATATCTGTCATTTTCATTTCACTATGTTTACGCAGCCTCGCAAAAAAAAATACAAATTTGGTTGGTATTTATTTATTGAAAATAAAGTGTAATACATTGATTTATTATTTGATTAATGTGGAAAAATAGTAAATATTAGTTATCACTGAAATCCATGCTGTTTACAGTGTTGATGACTGTAAATCCCCAGCCGTCCATGAGCGACGTCTTAGTTGTGCGACAGTGATTACGTCACTGTCAGCGGCCGGCGAGTGAGCGAGTAGTGTCCAAAATTTTTTTTTATTTAGCTGAGTGAGTGCATTATATAGTCCACTACATCTAATTCACTATATAGTGAGTAGGGAATGAGTGAGTGATTTCAGACACAGCCTGGTTCCTGGTAAGGAGGCCCAGCAGCTCTTCCTTTTTTTACAGACCACTGCAGGACAACAGACTGCCTCAACACTTTAAACTTCTATACACACAATATATCTGATATCAAAGTAATAAAGGATCTATCTTTGTAAATCATCACACAATAAATAAAATAATAAAGCTGTGACCTTTGATTCCCTGTTGCTATGGTGATTATTAGACTTTGGTATTTCCTGGTGACAGGAGACTTGACTTGACTTAGTCCTGTTGTGACGCAGATCTGTTCTCCGTGTTCAAGGTAAGAGACACTTTTTTAAATGTTTGAAAGACTCTCATTTAATTTGAGTGAAAAGAGCTGTAAGCTAACAGTTAGCCAGCGGATCATTAGCTGCTCTGACTACAGTAGAAGTGAAGGAAACACAATGATCAGTGACTCAGTCAGATGCAGGCTATGCTAAACCATGCTAATGTGCTAACAAATTGAAGACGAGCCGCTCTGGAAATTCAGAGTTTCTTTCATTGAGATAATCACATTTATTCTGTGATTTAAATATTCTAATTAAACTCATCAGTGTGAGTGTTGTTCTCAACATCATTTTTTTCTTAATGATGTTTGTTTACGTGAAACTCGTTCTGAATTAATTCATAAGAAGAAGTTTTAATAACTCTCTCAAACAGCTTTAATAATTAATATAATATAATAATAATAATAATAATTAATAATAATGCATTTTATTTTTGGGGCTTTCATGTCACTCGAGGTCACCTTACAGACAAAGCATGAAACAGTGAATAAAATAAATATTTGACTTCAACTTTCCAGCAGGCTGGTGTTCCTGCTTTGTACAGTATACTTGTATATTATTGATAAAAATAATTTCAGTGACATTAAAATTCATGGATAAGGGGAAAATTTTTTGTTGTTTAATTGTTATGAACTGTAAAGTCATACTTGGTTAATAAATGACTTGTTGGGCGTGTTCAACGTTTTTTTAATCCATTTTATGATTCAAAGTCCTGCAGTAAAGCCTCCTCTGATAAGATAAAACTTTATTGATGCTGGAGCATAAATTCAAACGTTTCAGCAAAACAAGGAGAGAAAAAGTTTAATTAACATTAGAATTCATCAAATAAGGAGAATGAGATGATTACAGAAATTAAAGAGTGATTCATGTCCTAGTTACAGACTGTGCAGTGAATACACACAGAACCTAGAACTAGTTTAGTACTTCAGCTGGATAAGCAGTCTAACAAGTACAGAACATCTGACAGTAATATACCATCTCCTATAAGAGAGAACAGAAGATTAGATCATGTTAGCAGGTGAACCAGGTAGATGTGATGTTTGTAGACTGACAGTGAGGTGATGATGATGAAGGTGAATCAGCAGCTTCATTGTTTGTTTCTCACAGCTGAAGATCTTTGACTGGATGTGACTTCAGCAGCTGAACTCCATCAGTGTTGTTGTTGTGACAGAGTGCAGCTCTTCCAGCAGGGGGCGCTCTGCTATGGATCAGTGTGAGGACACAGAGGAGGGGTCCCTCCTCTAAAACCTCTCTGTGTGAGGAACATGAAGCTCTGAGGTGAGATGAGGATCTCACTTCACTCCATCATCATCACTGTCTCATTGCTGCTCACAGTAACTAATAATGTTTGTTTGTATCAGGATGCAGGAACAGAGACCAGACTCTCCTGGACCCAGCTGTGTGTCCATGAAGAGTGACTCTAAAATATTCATTTCTTTAAAGATGGACGTCCTGCTGATGGAAGGTGAGATGTGAAAGTGAAGTTAATGTTCTGACTCTGTTGTTTAAAGACTCATATCTTGTCTCAGAGCTTCATGATGTGTTGTAGGACTCATCAGTTTATTGTTTCAGCAGTGACATCACAGTGTTCACAGTCAAAGAGTTGAGTGATCAGACTCATCATGATAAACCATATCACTGAGTTTGTGTTTCTTTAATAGAAATCCAGTTTACAGAGTAGCAGCTGATTTCAAAGATGGAGCTTGATGAGCAGAGGTCATATTTTTTCTAATTATCCTCGGATCATTACACAGAAAATAAAAGAATAGATTTTAATGTCA